TGATCAAATCAGCTACATATTTTTCTATGCACACGTCCAAGAATTCCGTTCTCATACACCCGTAACTATAAAATATAGAATAGGAGAAACCATTTGGTCTACACTTCTTACATCTATTGCTGTGATATTTAGTATTGCAGGACCTTCCTGGGTTACTCTAGCTAAATCATTACTTTTGCAAGTTACAGAATTCAGCATGTCAGCTCAACAACACCATCGGACCTAGAAAGCAACAGACTATGAGGGAAACGTACCTCTGGAGGATATCAAGCTCAGTTCAAAGTAACCTCCAAAGTGAATGGATGAAAAAACTATTTATCTTTGCTGTCGCCACTCACCCAGTGGCTCAGCGGGTAAGTCTGATAGCTTATAACTCTAAGAAATCGTGTTTTAATCTCTAAGATGGACAGAGTCCACACGGCCCATTGTGCTTAACAACGAACAAACAATGACCAGCTTTAACAATGTTAACAGCGGGGATACCAAACTAATGAAAGATTGTGTTCTTATCTTTTTTTGAAGTAAAAACGTAAGAAAGTATATTTCATTAGTTATACTGTTTGCCAGGATGATTTTTACCTTTGCTCTGATCGGAAGTTAATATTAAACATTAAGAAACCTTCCAGCTGAGAGCCGTAGCAACTATCAAGCATTAGTGGCTACTTTATCAAACAGGTTTAGAGTGACACACCAGAAGGAGGTATCCAAAGCAAAGTTAAGAAGCAGAGTAACGAAAGAAGAGACCTTAGCCAAATTTGTGGAAGATCTTGTAGGGCTTGTTCATTTATCTTACCCAGATGCTCCACGTGAAATGGTGGATTTGTTAGCACACAACCAATTGGCAGATTGTACGATGAATAAAACAGCATATCAGCAGTAACTGCTAACAATACACTGCATGGAATAAAATCTTCTCCTAAAGAATGTTAGAAAAAAAGGACATTTTCTAAATCTGGGAACCATGGTCATTACAGCCATGATGAATCAGCAGATAGTAACAAACAAAGAACACAAAACCATAAGAATGAGTCCTGGAGCCCAACCAGATCAAATCACCAGCAAACAGTAAACCAACATTGGAAAAAAGGAATAGCAGTTCACGAGTTAATGAATTCATTGAGGGGAAGTCTTGCAAAATGTTTATCGACACTCCTATAATTGTTCGATTCCATCTGGTATCGAATACTAATGATGCAAATAGTAAGCGGACGTAAAGTTCTAAGTCACCCTCACTCTGGGAAGCTTTTCCATGCCACATTATGTATGGGTAATTGACATCGAGAAAGGGTAAATATTGGGAGCTAACTTCATGCAGAGATACGAGTATTAGGTTGAATTAGCTTGAAATGGCTTCACAGTCTACGACCAGGAAACCTCCACCACGCACAATTACACAACTAGAGGTTGAACTTCAAGTAGTAAATAAAGATGGTGCATGGATAATAAAATCGGCTGACCTGAAGTGCCACACACCAAAATACAGAAAAATGCGTGGTTCAAATCGAATGTCATCTGTTTGTTCGTTTTTGGAAGTATTAGGTCGTCAAGAACTTAATGTCGTTCTTTTTAGATGAAAAAAACCCGCACAACTTCTATATCAAAAACATAACATTTATTAAATGAAATAGTC